AGTTCAGAAGAAACCCCGCTTGCACTGGCAGGAACTTCTTTGACAGAAGGCATATCAGCAAGAGCCTTTGCTCTGTCTCACTCCACTGGCCACAACAGAAGTTAGAACCAAAGCCATTGTCTTGATAGCTGCTGTTGTTGCCATCATGCTTCAGGCTTACTTTAAAAAAAAAAAAAGTATTTTCTGTGTGTAGTAAACAGCAAAGGGAAGAACGTAGATGACACTAGTAGACGTTCTTGTAGTTGGACAAAAGTCTAAATGTTCACAGATAAAGGTTTTATTGGCTGAACAACAGAAAGACCTGAATTAACGTAATTCTAACTTCAACTGAATTTTAAGGTAATTTTTGTCGTACATTCCTAGCTGTCTAAGCCTACTGAAATACCTACGAACGGTAATGCAATTTTAAAATCCAGAGATGTGTTGCTGTCAGACCAGCTGACTTGCCACAGTAACATCCTTCCTGCCAGTCCAACCAAATGAACAGGAACAAAAAGTCCTAAGTGCCTCTCTCTTCGGATGAACAACAATATGAAATATAATGCTTCCACCAACCCCTCTGCAGTTTAAATACCAACGTAGCTTAAGTAAATTGATAGTTAAAAGGATAAAACAAAGAGTCCAGCATGCCGCTCAGTGAATTAAAGCTGACATTAAATCTGGCTCTAAATTTGCAGTTCTCTCCCTGACAACCTATGGCATTAAGTTCTCTTGATTTTCTTTAAATGCAGTGCATTTAAAAAATTCTAATTGTAATTCAGTAGGAAATTATGGATTCAGTATCCACGTGACTAAAAGAGAATGAGATTGATCTGGATGTGTTACCTACAAATGTCTGGAAATGGTAAATATCATTTTTTTGCAATTAGCATTCTGCCCCATGGAAAGTCTTAGGCATCCATATTGAGGCTGATGCAGAGGACTGTTCTTATTGCAGATACTCTTACAAAATCTTCTCTGACTGCCATTTTGATACCTACTTCTTGCCAGCTGGTACAGTTAGACAAAGCTGTAAAATGTCTGTTCTAAAACAAATAAATAAAATGGACAACAGTCATTCTCCTCAAGCCCCTCCTGTTTTATTCTTCAGTTTTCACTCAAAATACCATCATTCTGAGGTGACTTTACAGTTCTTATTTGGAAAGTTCCCTTAGCGTTGACAGGAATTTTGGTCACTCAAAGATACAAAATCTTGAACTGTTCTGGAATTTCCACTTCATTTTTCATGCCACAGAAGGACTTCCCCTTCTTTCCACTCCTGTGAAAGCAACTTAGTCTGGTGTAGTTTCTGGGATCTTTGGGAATTCCTAGCCATACTTTGGGAATCCCTAGCCAGACTCAACCCTCTGTGCCCTTACTCTTTATGGTGTTGTCCCACCTGTTCCAGTAGCCTTGCTTTGATAGGGTAACAGATTTCTCTGAGCACAAGGCTAAGAAGCAGCTAGGTGAATGTCCTCACTATCTTCCAACGTCCAATGGCCACAGTCCTACTAAATCGGCCCCAGCATCCACATTTGCTTCCTTTTGCACACTTGCTTCCTCAGATTAAGGCTTCTGTATTGCCTTAATCTGAAGTTTTGTGAGGTCAGGCAAAGGTGTAGCAACCTGGCAGTGCAGATCCATAGGGGAAAGCAGCAGTGAGAGCTCTCTGCCACCTCCTTCCTTTGCTTATGCACAAGAGGAAGAGAAAACCACTGTCTCTTGCTTCAGCTGAAGATGAGTAGGCTGTTTACATTCTTCTCAAAAAGCAATCCCCTCCCTTAGTTCAATGGGGCAGGACCCATCAGAAATCTTTTGACAAAATCTGATAAGGTAAACGAGGCAGTGAGCAGATAGTTAGGCTATCATGCAGTCTGCTGCAGACTTGAGGCCTCACTTTGTGTTCCTGATCCTCTTTCATTTTTCAACAGCACCCATAGTAACTTAAGCTAAAAAAAATCAACACATCGTGAAACAACACTGCAGAACTTGCAGAACTGGGGTCGACACACAGATATTTTTGTGATTTCAGTGTCCTCAGTGTAGAATCTTTGATGTGGTGCCAGAGGAGATGCAGTATAAATGGGACAGGGATACTTTACCTGTACAAGAACAAACAGTACCCTTCAAGCATAGAGGTTAATCTCTAGATCTGTTCTTTCAAATGTAGTGGGCTGCACACACATTTAAATACTGGTGGGTCTGTTTCAGAGGATGGAGTTGCAGAAACACAAGATTATTCTCTCTGTGTATGTAGACATATTGTTAAAAATATGAATGTTTACAGTTCCAAAATATAAAATAATAGCACATTACTCCTGGAAAGATTCAATCAATTTAACTACGGTAATTTAATATTTTTACCTTTTATTCTCTCAAAGTCAAATAATCATTTAAACTATCTTACCAGATCTATTGTGGCCAACATATATTTTACTTTCCAAGGAGAAGATTGAGATGAAATTTCCAACTCAGTCACAGTTAGTTAAGGAGGGCTGTACACGTCCCAGTTAAAGCGGAAAGCTTGGAGCCTAGTCTTTAGGAGGTGTACAGAGTTGACAGGATAAGCAAAGATGGGTTCAACCTTCAGGTGGCCTACTGGCTTGCTGAGGGAGTGGTACCAGCCTGAGTTATACCTCTCTCAGTGGTTGAGGTCCATCCTGGGGACAGGGGCAGTGCAGGGAGGCAGTTTTCAGTCAGCTCACATTTCAAGACATAAGCAGCCACCAACTTCCAGGCTTCTCTATTTCTGGGTCAGATAACCCAAGCTGCCAACTTCCTCAGTCGGCACTGAACTATAATAACAAAATTCCTGGATTTATGACTTCATGTTATTGTCATCAAACTTGCTTGTATGTGTCCCCGGATAAACAGAGGTAAAGCAATACAGACTGAAATACAAGCTGCAGATAACAGGGATGCTGAGTAGCCCATGGAAGTGGAGCCATGACTTCTAAGAATTTCCTAGATTAATACTGCTGAAGATCCTGATAGCTGGGCTAAAGCAGAAGCTGTCCATACTCAGTTTGGGATCAGAAAACAAGAGAAAAAATTAACTTGAAGTGAGGCCTATAGAAGAAAAGGCTTCAGCAAACATTTTCCTGTCCGATGACAAATAGTCTCCCCTTTCTCAGATGGCTGCCTTTTAAATAACCAGGTTGCATCACAGCATCTGAACAGAAGGAAATAACTGAGCTTGTCCAGGAGAGCTGCAAATGGGTCAGGCCTGGCTACACCAGTTTGTACAATCAGCATTCCTAACATCCACAGGCATCCTGCTGGTACCCAACAGCTAGGAATGCAGGCAATGAACAATGAATGAACTGAGGAGCTGCTCATCCAGTTTCTTGTAGCTATTACTACACGGTGAATAGCTCCCCAGCCAGCAATTCATTGTGATTGCAGCGCATACCTGAAAAAGAGGTGAATACTCTCATGCTTAGCTTGACAAAACGTAAGCTACAGAAACGATAAAGCCGTTGTAATTAAGGGACAAAGTTTTGTGGGAAAATACTGCTGGTAGGTGGATGGTTGGACCGGATGGTTTCGGTGGTCTTTTCCAACCACGGTGATCCTATGATTCCATGGTTCTAAGTTAAACGTTCCAAAAGCGTTTAACCAAACCATTATCTCAGCGTTGTGCAAACTCAGTATAAAACCTTGCTCAGGAATTCAGGAACCAGCTGGTGTTATTAACATATGACTGCCATATTGGCTACCAACTCCTTCTACCAGTCGCTAATTTATAGCAACTGCTCTAACCGAAGTCATTATTGACTAATTAGAGCCCACAAGAAACAAACCGATGAGCCAGGGAAGTTCCATAGCATTGCACGCACAAGTGCACACTGCAGGCTGCCGCCAGAGACTGGGGACGTAGCAGTTGGCTATTCAGCCTTTTACAGAAACGCTTTTGTGGCTCTTTTGAAGGGCTGGTAGTTCGCTGGCATTCGTTCCACCCATGGATCACCAGGTCCTCGTTCCGATCCAAGCCTGCGGATGTTCCCTTGCTCGTTCTTTGTTTCACGCCGGGACCGCGGTCCTCCGCCGCACCGTTTTGCGCTCCGCGATGCCCGCGCGTAAAGCCGAGGCCGCTCGGCGGAGCGCTGCGGCTTCGTTTGGTGCGGCGCGGCGCGGCCGTAACGCGCTTTGTCAGCAGCGCCCACCGCGTACGCAGCGGCCGCGGCCCCGCGCGCTCCCGAGGAGTGCGGCGGCGGGGCGGCAGCAGGCGGCGCAGGACAATGGCTCGGTGCCGCCTTCGCTCGCCGCCGCTCCCCGCGCTCTCCCTTCTGCATCCCCAGGCGGCGCGGCCGCGTCCGGGCTTCACCTCCTCACACCTCTCCTGAGGAAGCGCTTCATCCCCCATTTTTTCTCCGCGAAGGCATTTTTTCGCGATTCCCCACCTTCTTTCTTCCCCCCCCCCCCC